GTTAGAGATACTATAAAATCCACATACTTTGTACAACCTGAATGGAATTAAAGACAGGCAATTAATCTCTTCTCCATTTTTTTTATTGGGGAGAATTGATTTTTAGATATAGGTTTGTATAATTTTGAAATTATTTAGAAAGTCAGTTCAAATCGTATGAGATTTCTGTGCCAGCTAAATTCAAAATGGTATTTAAATGTCAAATATGTAATCAATGTATCAAAGCTGAATTTAATTACCATTTACATTAACTTCTCACTTTAGAAATGGTGTCAGATCTAATCCCATTTGACCTAGACATGGAAGTAGACTAGTGATTAATATCCCCATTTGAGAGATAAGGAAAGTGAGGGATAGAAAAGTTATGGAAAGTGAAGGACAGAAAAGTTAAGGGTCTTACCCAGTTACCCAGATAGCAGGGCCAGATTTAAAACCCAGTCTCCTCCTTCATAGCCCCAGTAATATTGCACTAGACTTAAAAGGCTTGGATTCTAATTTGACAGTCTATTCTGGGCTCAGATTTAGTAGGTATGGATAAAACCCCCAGATCTGTGTATTTAATTTATAACATATAATGTATATAATATTTATAATATATATTTAAATACCTAAAAATCTATGATTCAAAGCAAAAAAAGGATAAAGGTAAATATAATACAATTTTTCTCCTTCCTCTGCCTCTCATCTATTGATACTTAGTTCCTTGCCCTGAGTCATCTGGGTTCTCATTGTATTACTTCAGAATTATTTCATTTTATTCACACATAGGCAAAGACATTTTTCTTTCTCATAGATTTTTTTCAAGATTTATTTATGCATACAAGAACTGGGGTAAAGGCCAGAGTTTTGGGGGGGTGAGAGGACTCACCAGAGACAGAGTAGGGAACAGAACAGGCAGATCAACCAAAATACACTGCTGAGTGGAGCAGCGGGCGAGTCAGGAGAGAGGTCTGCTGTGCCATGTGGGTCATCTCCCTGGCTGGGGCTCGAACTTGTGCTGTAATGGCTGCGGTGAGCTTCATAGGTTGCGTCTTAACCCCTTGCACCATCTAGGGAGGCCCCTAGATCTTTGTTTTTTAACATGTTCTATAGGTAATTCTGGTACAGATAATCTTCAAATGATCAGTCTGGAAAAAAATATTGCCTCTAAGGCACAGGAATTGCTCATTGTCATCTCAAACAAAGGTTCTCAAATTTTAGCATGTGTCAGATTTCCCCACAGTGTTTTTTTTTACCACGCTGATAGCTACACCCTTATTTTGAGGACTCTGGCATTATTTATTAAATTCTATGTTCATAGCTTAATTGACTCCCCAAAATACATCATCAGTGGCCATAAAAACAGCAATATGAGGTCTTTACTAGGTTACAGGCATTGTTCCAAGGATTTTACATACATGAACTTGCTTGTCTGCAACAATTCTATAAGGTAGATACTGTTCTTATCCAACTTTGCAGAGGGAAAATTGAGGGAGACAAGATAAGTCCCCAACTTCATTCATTCAGGCATGTGGCAACACCAGCCTGATGCCCAAACCTATAGTTTACAATCTGTGCTGCCCTCCCAGACCCCAAATGAGAGCTGATAGACTTGCTTTCAAATCAGCAGCACCAAGTATGATTAAAAGCCTCTCACTTTATTACAGTAGCTCTCAAATGGGAAAAGGTAGTAACAAGATTAAGTATGTACATTTTGAACAATAGAAATTTTCATTTTAAGTTGTGCAATTTTTTTTTTAGTTTCTCCTGTAATAAATTTGAGATATTTTCAATTCACCTGCAGTTCTTCAGAGAAAATTATCATATAATGAGGCATAGCAGTCCTTTAAACCCAGTAACATTTTTTTTTAATATTCTGCATTTGCTACATTTGATCACATAAAATTTATATACAAAATTATATATAGTATATGAAATAATGCCCAAGTCCATACATGTGTGAGTTGAATCTAACATACCAGCTTTGTGAGTCGAATGTCATTAATTTTTCACAATTTTTATAAATATGCTATCACAGTAGTAGCTAGAAATTGTCATGGTAGTATTTATACCATGAAAATGAACAACAGCTAGAAAAGAGGGTTTTTTGTTTCCCCCTTGGAGAATTTATAGGAAAACATTTATCGGCATACCACCATTCCAGTAAGGAAGATACTATAAACAGTGTATTACTAAGATGGCACATTAAACAAAATGTTAATCACAGTATTGACTTCTTAACTTTAATCATCGAACTCTTGCCAGTAACCAAAAATGTGCATTAGACACACAGAATTTATCTTTCATTTCTTTGCTATTAAGGATCTAAATCATTATTTCTATACTCAAATTCCTGAAAGCTAAACGCAAGATGAGGAAAAAGTGCCCCCAGGTCCTCTCTGCATGCAAATCAGAAGTCTAGATTTTTAATAACTCCTCTGGCAACAAAATAAACAATGTGGAATGTATCTGGGGCAGGTTTGATAAGTTAGCACAGTGCTTCTAAATCTCCTGTCTTTGATTCCTGCAGCACAGCACGCATTTCCTAAAATCAAGTAGCATTTTGGAATGTTCTAGCATTAGATAGACTTGAAATTCCCCAAACAATTAGGTTGAGTTTATTCATACATTTACCCTATTGACCCTTTCTTTCTCTAAAGTGATTTCTCTTTACTCACCTTAGCAATGGCTACAGTTTTAGGTTCTGAATAAATTAAATGCCTGAAGTGGTATTTTAATTACCTACTCACTGTTTGTTAAATTCAGCAGTGGAGTCAGTAATTAGAATAGTGCTTTCACCCTGGGAACTTTTGGTGTTCTAAGTAAAAGCAGGCACTATCGTGTGGTAATGAACACAGTCATGGTGACGAGCACTGCAGGTTTCTCAAGGACTTTGATGTTATCCCAGTGGTATCTGGAGGTCTTTGTGACTCAAAAAGAAGTGGATTGCTCTATTTTCATGCATTCCTATTTTTCTGCAAAACCTTACCCCTCAGCACTTAAAAACCACCAGAAAGCTTTCTATATGTACTGGTTATGATTCCTAATAAGAGTGCAGACAAATTAAAAATACTAGAGCAATTTTCCTCAGTCCCAGGAAGGGTATAGAGGGCAACATTGAAGACTGCAGCTCAGAGCAGCTTCTCCCTTGACCCCACCATGGCAGCCTGGGACAGCACACTTCTGGGCGACAGAGTTGACTTTGCATTTGTGCACACCTAACTTCCAAACTGTGTTCATAAAGCAAATAGGTGTGGCAAGTCATTTTCCACCAATAGCAGCTAAAATGTGGAAGTCTGTAAATGACCCATCATACTAACAAGCAGAACAAATCAATGACTCTCCAGTTAGCAACATAGATTTTACTTACTCCTAGGTCCATTTGCACTCAAGTAGAAATGATAAGGTTGAAGTTACTTCAATATATTTTGTCTATGCCACAGGACTGTGTCATGTATGTTAATATTATAGGTAACACATACAGAGCCAGAGTGTTATTCTGGCTCTTGATAACAGGTTAAAAAGATGCAGAAAACTGATCATCCCTAAGGGAACATTCCTTCTCATAAACAGCAACACTAGGATCTGCCTTCCAGACAGCTGGTGTCCTTTTCTAGTACGCCAGAACTGCAGAAGCTACTTCTGAAAACCTAAAGGCTAAGCCACAGTGAAGGTTCCCATCCCATCCAGTGAGTGTTTCTCTGGGCAAAACAAATGTTTTGGAATGTCAATCTCAGAGGTATACCCATAAATCAGGGAGACAATTCTGCCTGCTCCTGTGAAACACACATTTCTTAGAATGTCGTTTTTATGCTATACTCTTTAAAAAAAAAAAGATTATTTATGCATACAACAGCTGGGGTACAAGCCAGAGATGCAGAGGGTGAGAGGATTCACCAGAGACAGAGTCGGGGGCAGAACAGGCAGACAGACTGAAGTACACTGCTGAGGGGAGCAGCGGGTGAGACAGGAGAGGTCTGCTGTGTCATGTAGGTTGCTCCCTGGCTGGCCGGAGATCAAAATCATGCTGCAGAGGCTGCGGACAGCTCAACCCCTTGTGCCACCAGGGAGGCCCTATGCAATACTCTTCTATGGGACAGTAGTCCATTTATCACCTTAACCAGAATAACCTGAAAGTACTTATTAAAAATGAAGATTTAGGTCCTCCCCAGTGGTGCAGAGGTTAAAGTCTCAGTGCTATCAAGCTATCCAGCCACTGCAGCTTGAGTTCAAACCCTGGCTAGGGAGCTACCCACATGGCATGGCAGACCTCTCCTGTCTTGCCTGCTGCTTCCCTCAGCAGTGTATTTCAGTAGACCCACCTGTTCTGCTCCCCCACTCTATCTCTGGTGAATCCTCTCACCCCCCCACACCTCTGGCCTAGACCCCAGTTCTTATATGCATAAATAAAAATAAATCTTTAAAAAGAAGAAGATTCATGTCCATTTCCTAGACCTAATGAGTCAGAACACCCAGCCTCCCTCTACCCAGAATTACTACTTGGTATACAAATTTGAGAACCCAGGGCTGCAAGCGAGTACTCACACTTCTGTAGGTGTTCTTCATAACAGTGTTGATGGAAATGTAGGAATAACCTGGATGGATAGAGAAAGAGCATTGCAGGTGCAAGATCCTGTTTTGACCCCCTACCCAATACCACCCTCTGTGGCATACCCAGAAATTTCTTCTTGTATGAAAAGCAACATAACCTTTTATTCTTTTAAATTGGCCTCACTGGTGAAAAGACTTTGTAATGGTGGTGGTGGTGAGCCAAGCTCAAATTGCAATGTTTCCATCACTGTGCAGCTCAGTGTTATCCTAGACCTTGTGCTAAGAATAGTGACTTGTTCATAACAGAAGAGGTGGTTAGCTTTTTAGGAGGATTCTGAGAGGAGGATTGGCACAGGGAGGGATACTTGCCCGCGTTAAACAAACTTGCAGAAAGTCTGCCTTTCTTGTGTGCCAGGTTTCTCAAACGCTGCTGTTCTCTTCAGACAATTTTATCTAATTAACATCTATTTTTCACTTCTTTACACAGTAATCAGCAGTCAATTACTGGAACCCAGCTGCTGATGCTAAAAAGTACTGGAAAATCAAATTCATACAATAAATCCTTAGACGCCCTCAGCATCTCCTAAACCAAGACAAACGAGTTTGATTCCTCAACTTCCCCTCTTTCTTCAATGTACCTATCTTTCATTCACCTATCTTTCATTCTTACACATCTTTGTGATTTTGGTTCTATGCCAGGACCTATTATGGAAAGCCATAAAGAGAGGAGCAAAAGAAAAAATACAAGCACACATGAACACCCACAGTACCATTCTTATGTCTCAGGATAGTAATTGCCTTAAATGTTGACATGTGCCATTTTTTTTAAGAAATTCTGATAATCAATGTACAAGATATTGTGCATTATTTAACTGTTAACTTAATAGATGTGGTCATTGAAATCCTTCCCCAAAGACCTTATAAACAGACTTATGCTTAATCAAAAAGCTAATTATTTTGAAAATAACTTTTTAAAAGGTCAAGTTTCTGATTTCATCAAATTATTTTTTTGTGTGTAGTATGTACATTTTCTAACACTTTAGCTACCTTAACTCTTAAGAGAAAAAGATGTGGGCCTCCCCGGTGGCGCAGCGGTGGAGCGCTGGGTTGCGAAGCTGCCCGCAGCCTCTGCAGCGCTGGTTCAATCCCCGGCTGCTCCCCGGCCACCGGAGGAGGGTCCCACATGGCGCGCAGACCTCTCCTGCCGCCCGCTGCTCCCCTCAGCAGTGTACTTCGGTCCTTCTGCCTGCTCTGCTCCCCGCTCTGGCTCTGGTGAATTCTCTCACCCTCCCGCGCTTCTGACTGTACCCAGTGCTTGTATAAACAAACAAACAAATAAATAAAACATGCCTCTATAAAAAAAAAGAGGAAGGAGAAATAAGAAAGATGGACAGGGAAAGAAAATGTAGCGTGGGTAGGAAGAGGAAATCTTTTCTAAACGGATGTGACAAATCGTTTTACAATGCAGTTATTATAAAACTTGGTATGACTGCTATTTTCATCAGGAAAACCAATATTGTCCAAGACCTTCCTGTATGCTATCTACTTTATATATCATACTTGAACTAATTTAAAAATCTCAAATACTTCAAAGATGTAACTATTATTTCTATAACAGGAAACAGACTTTCTGAGTTTACATGCCAAGATTAAATAGTTATCACCAGTTGCACGATCAGGTATGGGACTCGGCTATGGATACCCAAAACCACCTCTTCTCTGTCCTTGCTGATTTTTTTTTATGATTGTAGCTGTCTTCATGTCATACATTATACCTGTGACTTCTCAATAATTGATTGCCAATTCAAGTCAGTGAGCATGAACTTAGCCCCCAATTATAATATTGTGTGTATGAAAATGGTACCGTCGGCTACAAAAAGTGTTCACCTTGGTTCAGAACAAGGATTAAGAGTCAAAGGCAACATATTTCCTTGGGGATTAATAGAATTCATAAGCATTACTCTTCCCACAGCAACAATGGAATACAAAGACCAATGTTGTTTACTTAGGCTGAAAATGCAGACTCCTTGCTGTTACAGTCCTTTGGCTATAAAGATAGAATTGCCCCCCACCCCAACCCTCACCTCCCCTGGAAGGCAGGAGAATTTACTTAATTCTAGGCCCAGACCTCTTGATGTTAGCCAATTTTTTTCCCTAAAACTGGATTAATTACTTAAGATCAAAGAAACATTTCCCTTCAGATTTATATTGCAAGTATTCCTTTAGCCTTGAAAACAGCATCTAGTAAGATAGCAACAGAAATCCTGAACCCAAAGAAAATAGCAGCCTGTGACTCTCAGGAAGGAAAGCAACCTGCTCCAGAACCCATATACTCTCTTTCACCTAGGACAGTGTTTTTCACCTGTTGCCCAGCATTATTATGAATAGTTCCACCACTTCATGGAGGTACCCCAGTTTCGATGGTATATTCTATGACCACCCTACCTCCCCTATCATCGTGGGCATTGCCATGCTGAGAACATGCAATATCAAAACATTATAAGATGCTGGTAAAGCTAAACCAATCATGTGTGTGTGTGTACAGAGATGGTAGTTCGTAGTTTCATTGCTATGGCAGATCTATTTTTTTTTTGCAAAAATAGAGGAACCTCAGCTAGGCTAAGAACTCAATGACAGTCCTGGGTTAGAATTTCTAACACTACCACTCCTGATCTACTGGCTCACATTCCCTACCACCCAGGGTAGTTTTTATCAGAATTACTGGGGCTTTACAGTCAGAAGTACCTTAGTTCAAAACAACTTCTACCACTTTTTTTGTACCAGTATATTTAACCTCAGTTTTCCCCATCATTTTTTTTTTAAATGGCTATAAAGATTCCCAGCTCAGAGGAGATTTTGAGTACTATTACAATCCAAATGAAGTAAGCATGTTATGAATATTTTAGCATCTTGAAATATAACACAGGAAGATGCCATTATTTATAGACCTTAATAAGTAACAGAATTGTTAGTTAATACCTTTTTTTTCTTTAGGCCACACTGATACTAATAGACCTCATTTAAAATCAGCTTTTCAATTTTGTTAAGAAATAATGAACAATGTATAACTGTATAGGCTTAATATGGAAAATATATAGAATGATGGTTTGATTACACATTTTACAATTAATATCCATCATATCATCTGGGTACAATAAATAGAAAAGTAAAGTTTCTCCTTGTGATGGTAACTCTCTGGATTTTACTTTTAACTTTCCTGCATATCATACAGCAGAGTTAAGCTATAGTCATATACAACATTTCTATTACTTATGTATCTTATAACTGGAAGTCTGTACCTTTCTCTGTATAAGATTTTTGATTTGATATAGTCCCCCTGAATTATTTTTCACTTTGTTTCTGTACTTAGGTGTCTAACAACAACAAAAAAAATCAGTACCAAGACCCTCTTTTAGGAGCTAAATGATATCAGGTCTTACCTGTAAGTCTTTAATCCACTCAAGATAATTTTTGTGAGTGGTGTAAGATGTAGGTCTTATTTCATTATTTTACATATGACTTTCCAATTATTCCAGCACCATTTAGTAAAGAGACTCATTACTTAGTATTCTTGACTCCATTGACAATTATTAGTTGACCGTAAAAATTTGCTTTCTTTTCTGAAAAACAAACAAAATTTCACTTTTTTTAATAAGCCCAGGTTTCACATAAATATGACCCTTAAAAGTGGATGAGTTAAAACCTCAATGAAATTATTTTCCATAAAAAGTTGGAATTGCTAGAATTCATATTTCTTTGTGTAAACTCTTTATTCTTTGAACTCCTTCATACTTTATCTTTTTTTCACCTTCATTTTTAGTCATGAATCTTAATTTGCTGAGCCATTTATTGGCTTTCTTTCAAGACAATTTACCCAGATGAAGATAAACATAATATGAGATAATGACTCTCTATGATCCCAGAAATGTTTACCAAATACAAGTAAACTGGCTAGTGTGTGTTATATGTATGTATATATATATTTATGTATATATGTGTGTATGTATATATTATGTGTATATATGTATATATATTTTACCTCCGTTTAACAAAATTGAAAAGCTGATTTTAAATGAGGTCTATTAGTATCAGTGTGGCCTAAAGAATAAAAGGAATTAACTAACAATTGCTACTTATTAAGGTCTATAAATAATCTGGTGTGTGTGTATACTTATGTGCATATACCCATACGTATAATCTCCACGATACATAGGTACACATTTGCTGTAACAATTTCAAATGCATTTGATATTTTATGTTCTTTTGTTTCTTTAAAATTAGTGCAATATAAATGCACATTGCAAATATTTTTGAACAGAAACAAAACAGAACTGTTTACCATTGTTCATAACACAAGCTGACATTTTATATTTTTGGTATTTCTTTATAGCCTTGCTTACTGCATAGGATAGCTTTCCTTATTTTTATATGTAGATGAGTTTATATCCTACTTTTTCACATAACATTTTCTCATGTAAAATTTTTCCAAGTTATTAAATATGTCCTACAACCATAATTCTAATTCCTGCATAATAGTCAACTAACTTCAGGAAATAATTGAAGATCATTATTTCCCCATGACTGGATATTGTAAAAAATGTAAATAAACTGCATCTTTGATGCTTAAAGTTATATTTTGTTTCCAATTTGGGAAAATTATATTAATATCATTAGCTTGTTTACTAGAGCTTCCCTACTAGAGGACAAAGTATTTGAGAGTAAGAATTGTACTTACTCATCTGTATATCCTTTGTTCTGCCTTGCACATAGAAATTATCTAGTATTTTTTTTTTAATATACTCTCTTTAGGAGTTTCTACTTTATTTGGAAGAATACAAGCAATTAGTTGACAACCAGCAGTTACTAAAATAAGGGAAACTCCCAAGATAGCTACTAAAGTTAGAGGCAGAAATCTGTTATATAAAGAATTGCATGTTTTTGGCTTAGTTTGTTTTCAGTTGTTTTGTGTGTGTGTGGGGGGGGGACCCTCGCCTGTGGCCGAACCGGCGCTGCAGAGGCAGCCTCGCAGCCCAGCGCTCAACCACTGCGCCACCAGGGGAGGCCCTTCAGTTGTTTTTTTTTTTTTTTTTTTTTTTTTTAAGCTGTATTTTACCTGTACTCTCATCTCGAAAGAAGCTAGAACAGTAAATTACTATCACATAGGTATCTAACAATGACTTAGTATGAATTAAGATTAGGCACATAAATGGGAATTTTAGATGCAATTCTCTATAGCAAAGATAAGTATATCAATAGTTGCCAAAGCTGAACCTTTTTGTGATAAGATATAACTATTTGTTTTCTAATGTGTTAAAAAATTTTAAAAAAAAGCAATGATGTAATTTTGTATTCAGCTATTTTAGATAAGCTTATGATACTTTCTCAAATGTTTAAATCCATTCAGGAAATATTTATTAAGTAACAGAACTAATGTATATCCATATACCCTATATTGATACTTAATTTCTATTGGCAGAGAATGGCTAACTAAGTACTTAACAAACCTATGTTTCCTTCCTCATAGATACGTAGCTAAAATACACTCCCAGACTTTGTTGTAGTCAGTGTGTCCAGCTAATGAAACAGAAACCCAATTCATGAGTGCTATTGTCAGGTCTAGGTCAGGGAAACCTCATACACAAAATATCCTTTGTCTTTCTCTAAGTGGAACAGAAAGAACTTCAAAGATTGAGTAAAGGGTGGGACCACAGAGTACATAGGCATTAAGTCCCTCGTGTCTTCATAGTGCAGAACTAATAAACTGCTGGTTTAAGTTACTGAGATTTCAGGATTTATTTGTTACAAAAGCTGGCAGAAATTCGTATTTGATAATTTCCAGGGTGTTCCAGATGGGATTTAAGATGGCTATCTTGTCTGACAGCTTTAACCAAGAAATAAGCCAAAATGGTTAGGTGCCTTCAGCACCAAGTAATTAAAACCAGGTAATCTCCTGAGAGATTCTCCTTCATTTTAAGGAGTCCAGTTTTTCACAGAACAATAGATAAAATTCAGGAATCTAAAAGGGAAAACTACCTTACAGAATGCTCTTCCATTTCATCTTATTTTTGCCGAGTAAAATGTAATAGCCTTATGAAGGTTATATAAAGTTAGTGATTCTCTGTGGTCATATGATTCATAGAGACTGACCTAGGCAAATCTTGAAGATGGAATAATTGCCACTGAATGGCAGCCAACATTTTCTTGATCCCAGTCAAAGTAAGACATATTTCATAGCTTTTCCTATCTTTGGAGAGACTTAAGTATATTATTAGCAGGATTTTTGCCGAGTTGTGATTACGTATTTTCTCATTTGTAATATGAGATATGTGACAGTACGTATCCAGTACCTCCAGAAGGTCAGGCCCTTGAAGTTAATATTTATATCAGGAAAGGGTTTTACTACAGCCTTCAGTTGAATGATTTTATATACCTAATAGACCTTATTTGCAATATTTCTGTTTCTCAAAATGATAATTAACATATATGAAACTATGACTTTATATACACCACCACATTTAATTCTCAAGATAAGCCTTTAAGATGCTTACTATTCCCATTTTAGATGTAAGAAAACTAGAATAACAGCTAATATGTAAAAATGTTTTTCCAGTTACATCTCTATGCTCTTAGCCTTTATTATATACTACCACTTTACAGATTTGGAGTATTACGTATTTGTGAGGCCACCTGCATGTTAAGTCAATTACCCTTTAATTAATATTAATTTTAAAGATAGGCAAAAAATGCTTTCACCTTTAAAAGGCTTACATAGAATAGTCATTTTCTATTAGTCCAAGTATTTCTATGTAGGCCAAAAGGAGATTCGGAGCAGTTGGCGAAGAACAAATAATTTGCATTTCAAAGGGATCAAAACAAACACAAGAACAGAGGGCTCTCCAGTTTCAGGAAAGATTAAACAGAAACTATTAATTAATGGCTTAGGACAAGCTTTGCTAATTGTTTACTAGTCATTTGAATACAAAATGAACTTATGTTTTGAAATATACAGTCCAGTGGAAATCTGATTCAGAACACAAAAAAGATAGCAAAGCATAGCCCAGAAGGAAGATGAAGAAATTTCGTTATTTTCTCTATTTTAGAGAAACAATACTATAATTTTTTTTTCAAGTAGTCACTATTTGAGATGCATTGTATTCAGTGAGGGCATATGAAAACAAAGAAGTGCAGGGTAAACATTGAGTTCTGCCTTTGAAGTAAAAAGAAAAACAAAATTCCTGCACAGAATATTAGCTCCATTACTGACTAGGGTCATATAACCTTAGGCAAATGACTCAACAAGCAAGAAGGGGGCTTCTCCATTTACCTGAAGTCAAGAAATAAGTGGCAGGATTTGTGGAATCTTTCCAGAGTCTTCCAAAGTAGTTAAGGGCATCTCATGACTTCTGATCTCTTCCGGGGAAACCTGGAAGACAAATGTTAGCCTGCATAGCCTCTTTTGTGTCAGACTAGAGGAAGTTGCTGTTATATTTGGATTTTTCTGCATTAATAGGGTTTTCTGGGCAAATGAGTTTTTCCCATGCCCCATGAGCACTTCTAGTACAAGGGTTGTGTTAGGTCCTTTTCAAGAAGGCATTAGTGGAAGAGTATTGGGCTGAAGGGAATATCGGTAGGCACTCTGGAATGTATTCAACAAGCCAGAATGGAAACTTGCTCTTCCAGATCGAGGAAACTACATAAGAGATATTACTTAATTGAGGGTCCCAAACAGCCCCAGAAATTGCCATGTAAAAGGAGCTTAAAATCCTCCAGTAACAGAGCACACTGTTATATCTGATCATTTCAGTAAAACAAAATCTTTCCTGATGTTTTCCCCTCTGTATATAAATTATACAGGGACAATAGAATATAAAATGAAGACTCTCTGACTATATCCATGAGTCCTGCTTGTTCAATTTGCAAATTATATGACTATTTATTATCAATTTCATTACATTGTCATATTAGTAGCTAGTTTGTGGAATCTCACAGCTAGGAAGATTTCAGATTATAAGTATCTAACAATCTCTACACAAGCCAACTTGACTTCAAAGTGCTATTTTCAGTTATTTACAGAATTAGTAATCTGGGAATGGCAAATTGGGAGGTTACAAAGGTGGGTAACTAGTGACCTATCAACCTGTAAGAGTCTGAGTAATTTTGCCATTTTTTAAAGATTTGTATTTATTCATGCATACAAGAACTGGGGTGTAGACCAGAGGTGTGGGGGATGAGAGGATTCCCCAGAGACAGTGGGGAGCAGAACAGGCAGATCTGCTGAAATACACTGCTGACAGGGACAGCAGGTGAGATAGAAGAGGTGTGCTGTGCCATGTGGGTCTGGTCCCTGACTGGGGAATCAAACTCTTGCTGCAGTGGCTGATGATAACTTGATAGTGCTAAGACTTGAACCGTTGCATCAACAGGAAGGCCCAATGTTACCATTTGTATTTTCAATTTTTGCTTAAAAGATTTTTTGCGCTATGAAACTTATTGTTTCCATCGCCCCTTCAATAGTCAAGAGGAGCCTCAAATTCCAAAGTTTCCTTTTCCTATTAACCAAAAATGAATATAGAGAGAAAAGGTAAAAATAAAATTCTTTGGAGGGTAATTGGAGATCATGTGGAAGGATAAATTTTATCCTGTAGAAAGACAGTTCAAATCCAATATTTCCTGACAGCTTGGGGACCTTTGGGTTCAATGTGAAGTTTGTCAAGGTCACTTGGGTCATTCAAAGAATGTATGTAACCCTGTTTTGAAACCCGAGTTTCAAGCTTCCTCACACAGTAATTGATTTTTCCTAGTTTTCAAATGTTTTAAACAACTTTCACAGCACTTGCAGTATCTGCTTTTGGCACAGACCAGTATTTCTGAATTTATAGTTTTAGACATCCAGAAGTTTTAACTTCAGGTATTTTGGACACCTTCATTAAATCCTTTACTTTCTTTGTTTCTCCACCTATCTCCATTTGGGAAATAGCTTTACTGGGGGGAAAAAAATCCCTACCATTAGCTAGTGTGAAGTTTTAAAGAGATTTCTGTGCTACTCATTTATTGTTTTGTGCCCTTGTTCAGTTACCAGTCAGAACTAAATTAATCATAGAATGCCCAGACTAAGCAATTTATCATTACCTTATCATCCATCAAAGCAGCTGTTTTTCTTCTAAAACTTTCTTTTTAAGCAATATGGAACCATCAACTCGCCCCCTTCTTACTGTGTTTTCTTAGATTAGGAATGTTTGTCCAACTCACTTTCTCCATTTCTCCATTTCTTCTTATGTATCATTCATTTGAGAAGCTCCTTCTCCAGTAGCCTCCAAATCTGGCCTCAGAGGAAATCTGTCCTTTTTTGGCAGGCTTTCTGTCTTGATGGTTACTGTTTCAACAAACCAAGCCATTAGCTCATAAAAATTTACAAAATGACAGCTATTATTTATGTGCTAGTTACCTTCTACACATATTTAATCCTCACATTTATTCTGCTTTATTAGCACTAACAAACAGAGATGAGGAGGATCCAGAATGTGAGCCAGGAATTCCTTAGCTCAAATTTTTGCTATTTCTCTTCAGTCACAGACTTATTTAAGTCCACTCCCTGATGTTTTTGTTTGTTCTTACATTAATAGAATGAGCTATAAATTAAATTGCCAGGACACAAAGATACGTTTGAAAATATTCAGCTTCACAACACTAGGTTTAAAAGGTACTAATCATTGTGTCTGCCAGTTCCTTTGATCAGAATTAATGGAAAGGCCCTAGTCAGTTCCCTACAGATTTTAGCTCCTTCTTAATGAAATGAAGTTCATCTTGTCAAACCTTGGTCGCAGTTGGATTTTACAAGAAAGCTTTGATTATAAGACTTCTGCTGACAGTGAAAGCTAAACGGGAGTCAGCAGTTTGCCCTTCTGGACTAAAACTGAGAAATATTTGTGATGAGAATAATAAAGCACCACCTTCCTATAGTTTCCAAGCTACACAAAAGCACTAGGATGAGATATGGTTCCAAATTACCTACTTCTGCATAGCAGAAAGGAAGCAGTCGAATCAGAGAGGCGTTCCAGAGCTGATGGGAGATTGCCTACTGCCTGCTTGCTGATTACTAGCCATCCTTCTCGTGATGTTCCTTTGGTTCAACTGGAACCAATATAACCTGATTTTAAGAGAAAGTGCAATATGCCATCTACCTTATTTAAACTCTTTTATGATCAAGATGCAGTCACAATTAAATTAGATACTCTCATTTCCATATTATATATACTCAAGTTTAGATGAAGTGATCCAAGTACTAAACATTTCCCTAAATCATTCCTAAAATCATTCAGAAATAGGATGCCATTTTAACACCTTATCTGACTGGTAATATACAGACAGGGCAAACATCTTAGTCCAGTGATGAACACATTGGAATGAGGAATTTCTCATCCTTTTATTGCTCTTAATCTTGCCATAGTCAGTCAATGATACCAAGTCATATCTAGTTGACAGAAGACTAGAAAACGTTGTCCCTTCCTCTCCCCAAAGCCTACTCAGTCAATCTATAAAATGTTTCTGTTGTGGTGCAGAACACCTCTAGAATCCAAACCTAAGCCTATTCCTATGACTCTAATTGAGACTTTTATTCTTGGTTTGAATTAATGCAACAGCTTCCTCGAGTTTCCAGTTAAGTCCTTCTCTCCTGAAAGTCAGATTAATCCTCCCAAAATATAAATCTGATCATTTAGTTGCATAAAGCATTATCATGACTTAGCATTGCCCTCAGGAGACAGTGCAAATAGCCTATCAAGGTTGTATGCCCCTTGCAAATTATTCCCCTAACTACCTTTTAGTCTTTTTCTCCACTTCTCTCGCTACTAATTTAATTTTTGCCCTAACTACTTTAATTTCCAAATTATAGTGTTCCCCATTATTTTCATGCCTTTGCAGAAAATGTTCCCTTTGCCTAGAACTCACTATGCCTCTCCCACCAAGAATGGTGGGGAGGTTAGAAATGGAAATATATTGTTGCAAAGCTACTATATAATTTATCTGCACCCATTTCATAATAATTCTAAGTAGATTATAAATTTAAAATGTATATTGTAATCCCTAGGGCAACAAACAAAACAATGAAAATAAATACGGATAGGTCAAAAGAGGTTTGGACACCAAAACCAAAGGTAACAAAAAATAAAACAAATGGCACTACATCAAATCAAATCGTTTATGTAGAGCAAAGACCATTACCAACATCAAAAGGCTATTCACTGAATGGGAATATCTGCAAATCAGATCTGATAAGTTTAATGTCTAAAATACATAAAGAATTGATGCAGCTCAATAGTAGAAAGAAAAGATCGAATTCTAAAATGGCCAGAGGATCTGAATAGACATCTTTCATATACCAATAGGTACATGAAAATGTGCTCAACATCATTTATCATCAGGGAAATAAGCGTAAATCAAAACCAAAATGAGATATCACCACATACCTGATAGAATGACTATTCATAAAGACAAGAAATAACAAGTGCTGATGAGGAGGTAGAAAAAAGTGCACTGATGCTGGGAATGTAAATTGTTGGATATAATAGAAACAAGTGTGGAAGATCTTTAAAAAATCTAAAAAAATAGAAATATCCTATGACCTAGCAATTCAACCTTTGGGTATTTATCTAAAGGAAACAAAAAAACTTGAAAGAAAATCTGTACCCCATGTCCATTGCAACAATATTTACAGTTGTAAAAAAAAAATAGTAGTACCCTAATTGTCCATTGATAGGTGAATGAAGAAAATGAGAAACATACACACAAAGAATGGAATATTATTCAGCCATAGAAAAGAATATTTGCAACAATATGAATGGACCTTCAGGGCATTATGCCAGGAGAAATAAGTGAAAAAAAAAAGGAAGGAAATACCATATGACTTTACTTATATGTGGAATCTTTTTTAAAAAATCTGAACTCATAGATACAGAGAATATGTTAGTGTTTGCCAGAGGCAAGGATTAAGGGCAAAAAAGGTAAAAGGTATAAACTTCCAGTTAAAAAAAAGTAAGGCATCTGGACTATAGTTAATAGTAATATATAGTATATTTGAAAGTTACTGAGAGATCTTAAAAGTTCTCATCAAGAAAAAAATGTATAACTATGCATGGTGATAGATGTTAACTAGACTTAGTTAATGCCACAATATGTACACATATTAAATCATTGCTATACAACTAAAACTAATATAACTAGTATATATGTTGATTATACCTCAATCTTTTAGAAACAAAAGAATTAAAATGCAAAATTAATTGTTTCAATCAGAGTAAGGCAAAAAAGGAGAAAGGAACAAAAAAATTCGAGACAAATAGACAACAAATAGCAAAATGGCATCCCTAATTACAAACATGTTAGTAAATATTTTTTTTTGAAAATCTGAACTATACAATCCACTTATTAACCATTGTACCCAAACATATATTTCAAGTGCACATGGGATAATGACCAGGATTGCTCATATCCTGGTCCCTAAAACAATCTCAGTAGAATTCAAGATGAAATTTTCAAAGTATGTTCTCTGAACACAACATACAAAAAATTGACTAACTCAAAACTAAAGCACTCGCAGGTAAAAAGTATAAATTGAGGGGGGAAATTGAATAAATAATTTTTTGAAAATATAAAATTTCTCTTTTGGCAAAAGGAATGAATGGAGAACAAGTGTTTACAGTTTTAAAAACTTACACTGGAGAAAAATAATCAATGATCTAAGTTTCTATGATAGGAAATTAAATATTAAAAGATTGACCTGAACCTAAAGTGAATAGGGGTTTAGGAATAATAAGCATAAAACAAGTTAATGAGAATAACGGTACCCAATGGGAAAAAAAAATAAATCAATCCAAGCAAAAGTTGATTTGAAAAGTACAGTAAAATTGACAAAATCTTAGCTAAACTTATAAAGAAGAAAGGCACCACTTACCAGCATCAGGAATAAAAATGATGACTTTGAGACCTACATTAAAATAATAAGGGAATTTTATGACAATTTCTGGGTAAAAAATTTTGATAGCTAGATAAAATAGACAAATTCCTTGAAACAAATTACCAAATTGACACAAAAGTAAATTGAAAATCTAAACATCCATTATCTACAAGGAAATTGGTTTGCACTTCCAAACATTCTCAATTTCCAGTCTTTCTTGGTTTTACTGATAATTTCTGTTATATTTTAGAAATAACAATGTTATACAAGCCCTTCAATATTGGAGGGCAAGAGATACTTTCCAACTTTTTTTTTAACACTACACAAACATAACATCTAAAAACTAAAAAAAAAAAATGAAATAGAAAATTTACCCACTATTAGCGATAACAAATCTAGCAAATTATGACACAATAAAGTTTACTCTAAGAGTTCAAGTTTCAAAGTTAATATTTGCCATGTTAAAATAGAGAACCAGCAATGTCATCTCAATGGATGCAGAAAAGCATTTTGCAAAAATTGATACTTAAAAATACTAAGATTTAAATCTTTTTCGCTAACAAAGTTTTCAATAAAAATCACCGTGTAACTATCTGATGGGCAAAAATGATATATCCCCGTGGTTTCATTTTTCTTTGCTTAATAATGAAGTTGGTCAAATATTTTCAAATTCTTTTCATTTAGGTTTAATCACATTTATAGCTTAATTTTCCATTGATCCTTCTTTCCTTATTATCTATTGATTTATTTGTTTTTAATCCTTTATCATTATGTGAAGGGAACTTTGCATTTTACTTCCCTCAAGGTTAATGTGAATGAAACTTCTAATAGCACCATTTTGAACACAGAATATGCTAAGCATTAGATGCAGGCACTGATTCAAGCTGAGTAGGTTTCCTCTTAGCCATTGATCTGTTCCTGTCATGTGAGTTCAAACGAGAGCCATCTGTGGAATGGATGCTGATATCCCTGAACATCTGTGTGGGACAATTAGTAGTTGCCAAATCCTAAAAGGAAGACCACTAGGAAGACAACAGTTATTACCCCCATCATTCCCATTTTACTGCCAGGAAAACTCAGGTGCAGGGAGGTAAAGTGACTTATCCAACATGATGTAGCCAATAACAGGTTGAAGCCCAAATCCAAAGTCCTTTCCACTGTACTCGTGCTGCCTTATTTATGTCCCCTAAACAACCATCTCTGTCCTAACTCAATATTCCTTCCTCCCTTTTGCCCCTTCTCCTGCAGGCTCCTGACCAAGGTGTGGACTAAGAGGTGGAGTCATGCTTCACACGGCCGCATCATGTTGGCAGCCATTCCTGGGTCTGGCTGTGGTGTTAGTCTTCATGGGATCCACCATTGGCTGCCCTGCTCGCTGCGAGTGCTCTGCCCAAAACAAATCTGTTAGCTGCCACAGAAGGCGTTTGATCGCCATCCCAGAGGGCATTCCCATCGAGACCAAAATCTTGGACCTCAGTAAGAACAGACTAAAAAGCGTCAACCCTGAAGAATTCATATCCTACCCTCTGCTGGAGGAGATAGACTTGAGTGACAACATCATCGCCAATGTGGAGCCAGGAGCATTTAACAATCTCTTTAACCTGCGTTCCCTCCGCCTAAAAGGCAATCGCCTGAAGTTGGTCCCTTTGGGGGTGTTCACGGGGCTCTCCAACCTCACCAAGCTTGACATTAGTGAGAATAAGATTGTCATTTTGCTGGACTACATGTTCCAGGATCTGCATAACCTGAAGTCTCTGGAAGTGGGGGACAACGATCTGGTTTATATATCGCACAGGGCCTTCAGTGGGCTGTTGAGCTTGGAGCAGCTCACCCTGGAGAAATGCAATCTCACAGCAGTACCAACAGAAGCCCTCTCCCACCTCCGCAGCCTCATCAGTCTGCATCTGAAGCATCTCAATATCAACAATATGCCCGTGTATGCCTTTAAAAGACTGTTCCACCTGAAACACCTAGAGATTGACTATTGGCCTTTGCTGGACATGATGCCCGCCAATAGCCTCTATGGTCTTAACCTCACCTCTCTGTCGATCACCAACACCAACCTGTCCACTGTACCCTTCCTTGCCTTTAAGCACCTGGTATATCTGACCCACCTTAACCTCTCCTACAATCCCATCAGCACTATTGAAGCAGGCATGTTCTCTGACTTGATCCGCCTTCAGGAGCTTCACATAGTGGGGGCCCAGCTCCGCACCATTGAGCCTCACTCCTTCCAAGGGCTCCGTTTTCTTCGCGTGCTCAACGTGTCTCAGAACCTACTGGAAACTTTGGAAGAGAATGTCTTCTCCTCCCCTAGGGCTTTGGAGGTCCTGAGCATTAACAACAACCCACTGGCCTGTGACTGCCGTCTCCTTTGGATCCTGCAGCGGCACCCCACCCTGCAGTTTGGGGGCCAGCAGCCCATGTGTGCTGGCCCGGACACCATTCGCGAGCGATCATTCAAGGATTTCCACAGCACCGCCCTTTCTTTTTACTTCACCTGCAAAAAGCCCCGGATCCGTGAAAAGAAGTTGCAGCATCTGCTGGTGGATGAAGGGCAGACGGTCCAGCTTGAATGCAGCGCCGATGGAGACCCACAGCCGGTCATCTCCTGGGTGACACCTCGAAGGCGTTTTATCACCACCAAGTCCAATGGACGAGCCACTGTGCTGGGCGATGGCACGTTGGAAATCCGCTTCGTCCAAGATCAAGACAGTGGGATGTACGTCTGCATCGCTAGCAATGCTGCTGGCAACGACACCTTCACGGCCTCCTTAACTGTGAAAGGATTCACTTCAGACCGCTTCCTTTACGCCAACAGGACCCCTATGTACATGACCGACTCCAACGACACCATTTCTAATGGCACCAACGCCAATACTTTTTCCCTGGACCTTAAAACAATACTGGTGTCTACAGCTATGGGCTGTTTCACATTCCTGGGGGTGGTTTTATTTTGCTTTCTCCTCCTCTTCGTGTGGAGCCGAGGGAAAGGCAAGCACAAAAACAGCATTGACCTTGAGTATGTACCCCGAAAAAACAATGGTGCTGTTGTGGAAGGGGAGGTGGCTGGACCCAGGAGGTTCAACATGAAAATGATTTGAGGGTCGACCGCTCACACTCTCGTCTCTGTCATTGTTGGTAACCAGGAAGGCGGCCTGGCACAGTCGATGACTAGGTTACAAGGCAGCTCCGTGCGGCTGCCCCTGTGTCAAAGCAGGGTCCTTGGAAATAGGAGGACTTCTTGTGGAGACTCCCCACCTAGAGGCAGGCAGGCATGTGTCAGAGCCCTTCACAAGTGGGATACTAATTGTTTGCATTGCAAATATTGGCATTCTGGGGATCTCAGTAATGAACCTGAACCTTTGGCTCATGCTCATGGACAATTATTCAGCATTTTCTACCACTGCAAAAACAACAGGAAAAAAATAAAATAAAAAGGAACCACCTACAATGTAGGATTCACATATTAAAAAGACACATTTGTCTAAAACATACTCTACAGAAAAATTTGTATCTATGATTACCATTTGTTAAAGCCTTGCATCATACCATACTGTTGGTTCAGTACCATAAAGAAATCAATATATTCTTTATTCTTTTTTTAAACATATATGCTGTATATGTTTTAAAGCAATATGAATGAGAGGTTGTGCTTTTAGTTACTCACCACTATAGATCCCAGTGTGATTTCACCTTCCTTTACATACGGATAACCCCAAGACTAGATCCCTGGAGTTATGGGCAGAGATATGTTGAAGATGCATTTGTCTGATGTAGGTGCCAAGAAACAGGACCCGAGGCAAAACTGCTCAGCTCTGTTAACTTCTGTTACTATAATAAAGGCATGTGCCTAGTTTTGATACAGAATGGAATATTTTTTATACTTGTGATATCACACTGGACCAGTTTACTGTAATAAAGCCCTTGGTTTCTCCAGAAGGTGGTGTGCCACTAGTAGTACCTGTGAGATGCAAGGTAGGTGTTAAAAGTGAAATGATCCATTGGACAACTTGACTTGACTTTCATCAATTGCTGCTAATGGGCTAACGGTCTAATACTCACCTCATAGCCGAGATCACGAAGTCAGATGTTCTAAATGTCTCTGAATCAGGAGCTTTTCCTCAGATGCCAGCACAAAGCCAGGGTGACCCCTGTTGATTCATGCACAACATGATGTTAATGCAGCTAAGGATCTGTTGCCAATGGGATAGCTGTTTGAAGGCCGGATTGCTGCCAGACAAAGGAAACATCCAGTTACTGCCATTCCGGTGTTATCTCTCTTCAAATACTATACATGGAGTCTTATTTGGAATGGGCAACTTCAGAGTCCCTCCCTATTTTCTTACCAGTTAGGTATGAGTTTGTATTTGGAAAATTATGTTGTGTGGACAAGAGGAATCCATCTTGTTTTTAGTGAGGTGAGAAGAAACAAGGTGGACTAAAAAAACAATTTTTTCTCTCTACTGAGGGAAAAAAGTAGATCCCTACACATACCTTAAATTGTTCAGACACCTTTAATCCCCTCCCCCAAGTTTCGGTGCCCAATTCAGTTTGTATTAATGGATGTTACTTCAAATATTTCATAGTTTTAACATAAACGACATCATGTCATTACCGCCAGTGATCTGGTTCAAACAGACACAATTCCATTTAGCTAAATGTTGGGTGAATGGTTTTCAAATTATGTAAAGCATTGAATATAGAGTATATTCATTCTAAATGTGATCTATTTAATCTGCATAGAACAGATTGGAAATTTCTACACTGCACATCTTGAAAGGGATCTAAAATGAGCCCCCCCTTTGAAAAGCATGTAAACTGGAGTAGGATTCTGAGGGTTTTTGATGACTCAACAGCTGGCATTTTTTTAATTGAAATTTTGAGGAACTTCGATAAAATCAAATTGATCCCAATGAAAAAGTGACAGACCCAGAGATTGTTTTACCAATTGAATAGCAGCATGGCTAAACCCATTTCTCTTTTAGTAAAAGGTAGAAAATGAAATAGAAAGGTTGAAGAATTGCCTGTTTGAGTCATTTTTCATTTGACTGTCCTCATGATTCTCATAGATCTTTTAGAAATTCATTTCCCCCCGTGGCAATTACCTTACTTATATCTAACCATGTAAATCAAGATATGCAATAAATTCTATCAATTCCAACCTCTGTGAACATGCAATGGGAGGGTTTTTAAAATCTAAAATATTTTAAAGAACAAAGCTAAAATGCAGTCTTCCAAAATTTATTAGAATATACTTTATCTTCATTTTGTAACACTGTATGGAGGTAATAATTGTCCAGTGAAAAAATCAGAACAGTACATCAAGCAACTAATAAAAGCTTGTGATTCTGTTACCTTCTGTCAAAATGAAAATTGACCAAACACAGTTAGTAAAATAAAATTGGATTAAATTTAACCCATTCAACAAAAGACAGTTAAATTTTTTAGTTGTCATTCCACTTGAAAAGTAAAGATTGCACTCTTGGGGGTTTCCATATACTGATCCATGGAACAATGTTATTTAAGATCTTAGTGAGCATTCTTCCAGAAAAAGTCACAAAGACTAAAAATTGGAAAAAAATGCTACATTGGTCACCACTTAAAGGTTCAAAGTCTGTGAGCCTAGTTTATCCTCTGAAAAATCCTGTAAACAAAAATTTTCCTTCATATTGGGGTTTCTCTAACATTTGAGAATGAAGCACTTTTCATGATGTCAACTATTAAGATCTTGAAATAGTTACTATGTTTTGTAACTCGAGCTCCATAGAATCCAGGTTGGTCAATATTGGATTAAAGGAGTTGTCTTCTAAAACTTAGTGTACTTTTCTGAAACGCAATGGTTTTAATAGAATTATTTGAAATGGATTCCTATAGATTACTAATATCAACCACCTATATAAGAGATCAGATCATAAAAATGCATTGGCCAAATATTTTTTAAGAGAAACAGCTACTCCTTGCCTAGAGCATTATAATAATGGATTTATATGTAATTGGATGGTGGTTGCTTAATTTTCCACATTCTCACTGTGGGTACAGATCTTGGATTTCTCTGGAGCTCTAGTTTTGAGGTTCATAAGGAAATTTTCCCTTCAAATTACTAATTTTTTTAGATCAACTTAGACCACAGTAGAGAGTAATAGCTCAAGCCAGGATATAGGCCCAATCTTTCCCCTTAGCAGTTATGTCCAAGTCATCTTCCCAGATGATTCCTATCAAAGCATCTTTAAAAAGTAATATTATTGTTTGGCACAGCATTTAGTTCTAGGTTAGCCAATTCTCTGCACATGAAGTATTTTTCCCTCTCTAGTCATTAAACCTCAAAAAAAGAGTAATTCCAGATTAGAGCTCTGATAATCTGAGGGAACTGAACCATGTCCCCAAATGTCTGAAATACCTGTGAATAGAGTATGAAAACTCACCAACAATTGGCCTGCTGTGCTCAGCAAGAGATTTCTACTTTCCCAGATTCACATCTTGCTCATTTTTAACCTTCATTTTCATTGCCTTTATTATGAGCCTTTTTGCTTATCACCAACCACTCCCCAGAAGTACAAAATCATTCAGGATTTGTTCTATTTAATACTCTGCTTTCCTCAGTTCTCAGAGGAGCCTAAAAGTTACAATCTTCAGACTTTTTTAAAGGATTATTTAAATCTCACCTTCACTGACTTTTGTCATTTTTCCATGACTCAAGTGGGAATAGATTTGGGTGTCATAATATACAAAAAAGAGGATGTGCTCTTGGAAAAGAAACAGTGAATACAGCCCCATGCAGATTAATTCACCTTCCCAGGGTCACCCTTCAGCTCTACGTCAAGACCTTTGTTTTCACTTTAGGGATTGTGCTCAGAAGCTGTTTAACAACATGAAATACATCTTGAGGCTTTCTAGGACAGGAAAAAAAACCACAATTTTCAACTTTTGAGATTAAGAACTGTCAAGACCTATCCAGAGTTTAATGTAAGGTTGGAGGAAGAAACTTGGGTCTATTTTAATCCTATTTCCTTTATCACCAATTTTTATAGTCATTGCTGAAGATGAATCAGAGTTGTGCTCTTCTCTACCATCAATGGTGTCTTTTTCATCCTGTTCCCTACGTCCCTATCCTTTATATAGCCCACATGACCTATTCCAAATGGAATTTGTGGCATGTGAACCAAGTAACAAAATCTTTGGGGTCAAAGCCATTCTTTTCAGTGCTTAGGGAAAGATTTATGTTTTTACTAGGCGGAAGAGCCTGGAATCATTCCCTATCACGCCAGTATATCATGTAGCACAGCAGGGCCTAGTTTTTCCCATTGACTTTCCACCACTGGCTTTAGGAGCTCCCCCTTTCTGCTGAAATCCTTGTTATTTTCTGATTGAGCAGACTTGGAGTTACTCTGTGTATGTGTGTGGGGGAAGTCTGAAGGACTCGGTCACGCACCAGAGGGAGTTTCCAGGTATTTGGCAAACACCTGACACAAATCAAAAAAATCCCCAAGAGAGCTGCCTCATTCTCACTCCAGAAAAACATGACTACAGGGAAGGGACAGATTCCCTTCCCTGTATATAAGATCAAAATGATACGTAACATAGCTAAACACGATGGCAAATCACTAACAAAAACTGGGTCTAGGGGCCATAAAGTCTGAACTGGTACAGTTGAGTCACATAAACTAGGATTTGAATGAATAATAAATGACAGGTTTTCAAATCTGCAATTGGTTTATTTGTTTTAGATGCAGTAAAATGCAACTGCCTATTTTCTTAAAAAAAAAAAAAATGTTAAGAGAATGCAAATTCTTATCTGTGAGTTTTATTATCCTAAACAGATAGTTTAGGATAAAATGTTCATGGAGGTAAAAGTCGAGTAAGAACATTGTAAAGGTTTATTTTTCTAAAACAGGCCTGGATCTGATGGTCCTCTTGATCAGATTCCCATATTTCAGAATATTTCAGAATAGAGGAAACGTTGCCTGTGTTCCAGATTGCCCTCCAGTTTGCGGTCTTTAATACTTCTACTTTTCTGCCTCTGCCTCCCTGGGACTCCTAACTCCCCTGAGACAGTCACAGAAAGAGGAAAGCTTTGGCGTCCCCTCACATTCCGGCCTGCTTTCTGGATTCCACAATTGACATGATCCCTCCTCCAGCTCTGCTTTCCTTCCCTGCAGTCCCCCCGGGGCCCCTGTCATACCTCATCAATGAATGCTCTCTCCAGGGATGAGTCTTCTTTCATTGGTACTCAAAAATTCTTGGGTAACTGTTAAACTAGAAATTGCTTTAAAAAAAAAAAAAAACCCTCCAGCCTATCTCACATAACACTTTAAAAGTTAAGACTTACCATTCACATAATCACAAGCTGACAGCAATCTGCAGGTTGAGTGATTCTGATTTTTTTTTCTCCCTTCTAGAAGCAGGTGGGTTGATATAATGCCAACCTGAAATAGAAGCTTTATTTATAGCCTTAGCAGAATGAGCAAAGAGCTGGCATAATCAAGAGAGTACTGCATATTTTAAGAAGGCTTTACCTTTAATATGCAAAATAGCCATTAGAAGACAACAAAAAATGCAAATTTATATTCTACTAAATTGGTTAACTATATTAACTACAATAAAGTTTGAAAAATAACTTCCATACTGATAATGGGTCAGAGATTTTGTGCCTATTCATCAGGACAAAAAAAAAATGGCAGAAATTTGGTTACCATCTTAATTTCATTTTGTTGCACACCTCCTATTCTGAATTGCTTTAATAACTTTAATTTCCACTACAATATAATACAATCTACAATACCATCAAAAAGTAATGATTAAACATGAGATTCAGAATTGTAAAATAAATTTCTCCCTATCTTTACAACAATGTATGTCCTGCAACTTGTTCATATACATATTTATGGGATGAGAATTGAGTAATGACCAAACTTTGTCTAGAGGCTACTTGGAAGAAAACATGTTCTTTTCCTTCCCAGTTATAAAATCAGGTGTACCACACACAGATTGATACACATGTCAGTTGTCTTATTTTTTCCCCATTTCGTATGGAATGCCCCAAAACATAATTAAAACACTATTGTTTATATATACATATATAAATATGTGGGGGAGGGTGGTTTGATTTTTTTAATTGTTTAAATGTAACTTTCAAAAGTTGATAAGCTTGAGCAGGAAGGGGGAAAAGAATGTGTCTGTGTTTTTCTTTAATGTCTAATCAAAATCTTATTCTGGGACTATCCCATGATTGGAAACTACTAACCAACAATCTACAAAACTTTTTTTTAATGCCTGATCATTTATGTTCTCAAAAAAAAAAAAAAAAAACCCACATAGTGTTTATGACAAAAGTGTCATGGTTTAGGTGTCTCATGACTTATGATTTATTGTTGTGGGCATGGCTTTTATAACATGTATAAACAAGTTAACTTATTTTATAAGATGTAAAATAAGTTAAGAAAACATGTTTTCTTTACTGATGTAAAGGGCTTAAGCATCTGACATCTCAGTTCAATCCACTGGGGTATTATTAAGAAATGAAATTAATAAACATAAGTGGAGAGACATATCAGAAAATATGTCCTTATTGAGAGAGGTAGGTTACTTGAACCTTACAGGAAATTGAGGTTGGTTAAGTAGCTTCAGCACTGTTATTAGCTCAAATAATCCACAAGTAACTCCAATCAGAGAAGAAGGTCCACCTAACTCTAATGTCAAGGTAGATGGAGATTACTCAGAGTCCGGGCTATCCAGTTCTTCATACACAAAATTTACAAGGAGCTTGACTTGTGGGATATCCAAATCTAGGTAATATCAACCACATTATAAAGATAGTCTACTTTAGTAAATTGCTTATCACTTAAATCATCTCAAATTCATTTAACATAAGCAAACGATGGGCATGATTTCAGGATGAAATAGATTTGAGCAAAAACTGAAGGGTTCAACAATCCATACACATAACATACCTCACCATCTAGATATTCTCTGGGATAACTATCACTCAGTCAGCTATCAATGATTCAAGACATCATGTGAGATAAGACACAAAAAAGTAAAAAGGAAAACATTTCTTTCATCTATAGGCAATTTTGTTAACGAGCGAAGAAAGTTGTCTTGTGTTAAAAAGAACAGACTGAAACACCTGCACTTGTTTATTCTTTCTGCTGAGAGTGAAGATGCTTGTTCTCTCCTTACCCTTGGTCCTTAAGGGGCTGGACTTTAGGGAGATGTGCTCAGGGGGCTGTCAGCTTCTATGGCATCATCTTCATCCCTTATAGGTTGTTAGATGCCTTTCATTAAGGAGGGAGTCAGTGAAAGAAGCAGCAGAAAGCTGACAGAAGTGGTACCTGGAAACCATGTTGACAGATAACAAGAAAGCCCTGGATTCACCTGCAGGCAGCAGCAAATACTCAAATTGTGAGGCTGTGAGCAAGAAATTCACAAAAGGCCCCTTGGCTTTTCTTTAATTAAAAAATGAAGAGCCTGTTGCCAGAGAGGGATTTCCTTTTCCTTGTAGATTCTCTGCTTATGCCAGTGCTTCTTGAGTAAGAGTCACATCTTTGACAGTGGGCTTTCATTTCCAGTACTAAACAAGCATGACTAAAACAGATTTCCCATTCACAGTTTTGAATATGTTAGGTGCACATTTCTCCCAGCTATCACTAGTTAGTTTGGCCAATAAACTCACTGATCAGGGACAAGATAGTGCTAATACTTAAGGATTTGTTCTTAAACAATAAGAAGATGGTCCAATAAGGGTAAATTTTTAAATGAAAGCTGAACATACTTTTAGCTTGGTGGCTTGACTTCTGTGCTCTTCATTAATGTAGAAGCCCATCATCATTTATGTCGGTTTTCCCTCTCGTTTCCCTCAAGCACACTGCTCCAGCTAGCAGGCTGTCAACGTTTCTGTGCCATTTGGTATAGTCAAAAAACAAAAATTAGGAGTTCCTACTCCCTTTCAGGTAGATAAGTTTATTATAGAACCCAATACTCTGTTCCTAATTACCTCATTGTCAGACCTAAAATGCAGTATGTAAAGATTAATTTGGAATGAGGCCAAGTTAAAAAGGAAATTGAGAAACCTTAATGGGATCATCTAGGAGTTCATCTGTAGAAAATCTGAAAACACTGACTTGTCACTCTAGTGCCTTTCCTCAACTCTTAGAAATAATTAAATGCAAAAATTATGAACCTCCCTCAAAAAGTTTGGATGGAGAAAGAAGTCCCTTGTTAGAGCTTTGCAGGCAGTGTTTCATTTTGTAATACTATGAACTATGATAAGTCAGAATGTTGGGACATATCAATTAATTGCAATGCCAGGTACATAAACACACACACACACACACACACACACACACACACGTTGTTAAGAACCATTGGAGAATGATAGGGGGGAAAGGCAGGTGAAAAAAGGTGAAAAATATCTGAGGATTTTTACTATTTTGTTTGGTCTCTGATAAGGAAAACTAAGAACAGAACTCTATCACTAGGAGTCTGAGAGATGAAAACCAAAGGAGGAGTCCCACAGAAAAAACAACATACGACTAGTTTATCCCTTTGCTTGAAAGACCTCAATCTTACACGTGATTGCAAAAGTTAGGTCTATATTGATCTGTTGTTTTGTTGATTTTCACAATGGGAGATAAATCTATTTACCAGATGCCCCTCTAAGATAGAGGAGGATTTATGTGAACTCTAACTGCAGGATCATTGGTTGTATTATTATTGCTAAGCACAAGCCATCGAGCAAGGTAGTACCACAGCACAGAGGCAAGTCACTACATTTAATCTATCCTTTTAGCCATTGGTAATTAGCTAGATGTATAAAAGACTAGTAGGTTACCTCTATTATACACATTCAGGACTTTCGTGGAAGTCAAATGCTTCCTTAAACATGCACACACATCCCCACCACGGCTTCCAGAGTTTCTTTAGGTCTTATTATATATCAGTTCAAACAGCCTACTGGGAATTAATTCACTAAGCACAAAACAAATCTGCAACACAAAGACATTAGCAAGTCTGTTCCAATATCTTGATTTATATAAGCTCTACTATTTTAGCAACACCTGGAGAATCTGGTTGCCTTGATTTCAGTGGTACGAAGAGACTTCCATGGCACTGCTGTAAGAAATTTGCTGATATTATTTTATGAGTGATTTCTACACATGGTGGCTGTTTTTATCCTGAGTCTTCTGGAGTGAAAACACGGATCCACAGAAATGAAAAATAACTGAAAAGTGTACCTGGCTGGTGATTCAAGAGAAGAGTATGTCACTGTGTTGGTACAATGTATTTTCAAAGCAGCATTTGATAGCAAACGAGATAATGGGCATGTATAAGAGAATTTCATTTTTGAAGGAAAATGGATAGTGTTTGTGTGGTACTGCCTCTAATATTGATGTTAATTGGAGTTTTGAACCAATAAGCGCACCATTTCTAAATTAACAATTATTTTAAATCTCTGTTTATGTCATTGAAAAGCTGTCAGTATTAACTCAAATACATGCCCACAGAAAATCCAAAAATCTAGTTAAAGTTTTCCTTTTTGATTAGAAATTGGGTATCAGACTTCTCCATCTTTTGTTTTATGTAATATACAAAATTTTATTTTCCACTTGCCCAAGCACAAACTCATTCATTTACTTAGCCATGCAACATCTACTGAGTATCCACTACCGTAGCAACTTAGCATTATCAATAAAACTATCAAACTGTGGTCCAAACTTTAATCCTGCTTTCTCCACATTACCTTCTATGACTTCCATGTCGATCACAACCTATTTCTAATTCTATCATCCAAATCATATGGTTTAGAAATGGGCCTTGGTGTCCCATAGGCCAGGCGCTAATCTGGCTTTAAGGATCTACCTGCTTTAATGATCCACTCTCAGGGAGTCAGAATAGTTAAGTACTAAAAAGACAAGGATCTGGAATAAGAGCCCCAAGGACTCTATCATTGGATTCATGATTCTTTCTGGACAAGCTACTTAACATCTCTGCATGCCCATCTCTCAAAATGACCATAACACTACCTACCTCACAAGGGTGCTGTGAGGCTTACCGTGAAAGCATGAGGGAATGGTATGGAGAACTGGGAACCTATGACAAAGGTGCTACAGGATCTAAAAAATCTGGAAAAAGTCTCTGAGAAAGGCCCCCCAGCCCCCTGAGAGTCCCAGGCCTGCCAGGATATGTCAACTCCCTTTACAACTAGAAATTAAAATGGCATCTATTATCCATTAGCTTGGTTAATCTTCAGTATGACCTCTATATGACCTCTACAGGATTCTCAACAAGCCCCCCACTTGCTGACTTGGAAAGATTGTTAAATTAATTTTAATGCAGGATTAAAAACAGGATTCACTTCCAGGTGCTGGGGTTGGGGGGACAATTATTTCAATATGAAACAAGAGTTTGTACGGATATCTTCAAGGAG